AAAAATATAATAGAATTTTATACTAATCTTACTTCGTAGCGCCATCGTAGATTTTAGTAGTTTGATTTATATAATTTTATAGGGTCAATTTTACTTTCTTCTGCAGGGCGGGCTTCAACTTACCAAGTTTCGGCTAGTGTATGGGAGGTAGTGGGTTAATTAAAGAAATGGTTTTTAGGTGTAGTTGGTTATATCTTTAATAGTTTCGTATTTAATTGCCCCACCGTCGAAGTAGATTCTTCTGATAGTTTAGTTCATTTTTTTATTTTACTTTTTCATTTTTGATATGTTTATAAAATTTGTATTCGCTAACTATTACTGTTTAATAAAAATAAAAATAAAAATTAATTTATTAAATTTAAAATATTTCAGAATGTTGTAAGATTTTTCGTTCAAAAATAGGTAATTAAAGTTTTAAAAGTTTTAAAGACGTTTTATGTTGTAAATTTATTCAAATATAATTTTTTATCTTAATAGATTCTGTACAAGAATTTAATGAGGAAGAGACGAAATTTGACGAGTACCAAATATAAATTAGTATTTTGTAGGAGAATTTACGTTAAATTAAGTATACTGTATTATATCAATTTGAAATTAAAGGATTTTTATTTGTGAATTTTAATTTATTGTTAACGTAAATTTGGTATAATTTGGTATATGATTTTTAATAATATATTTTAAAAATAAGATTGGCGCTTTGGCTGTTAAAAATTTTTTGCGATTGATACTACATATAATGAAATTATTGTTTATGATTTCTCTATTTGATGATAAAAAAGTTTAATTTAAAATCAGTTATTAATCAACAAATTTGAATAAGGTTACCCAATTTGTCAGTAAATGAATTTATTAGTCTTTATTATCAATAAAATATATATATTATTTGTATTGACTGTTTTTCTCGTATAACAATTATTTGAGCGTTCTGATCATATAATTCATCTGGTATAAAATGAACTATTTTAAATTCTTGCATATCTGATCAGATTTTCATGGTTTAGAAGTGTAATAAGTAAATCTTGTTTCTATTGATAAAGATGTAACGGTCTTTCTATTAATTGGATTAAATAATTCGACTGAAGAAACTGTTTTCAACTGAAACTACTGCTTTTCTTACTCCTCTCAAAGTATTTAATAACAAATCTTCTTACCGATCTGAATTACTTAATTACAATTAAAGAATAGCATAAATAAGCTTACTCATAATAGATAGCCAGGTTGACTTAATACAGAAAATATTTAGTGGAATTAATAACTACATTTTAAGCGCTATTGTCACTTAGTTAAATGTTTTAACATTTAACAAGAACAACATACGACATCATCTTGAGATGACATGTTTTTGAAGAGATTTTTTTAATAAAAAGGTTTTATAGTTCTTAGTTATCTTAGTTACATTTCGGACTAATAATTTTATCAAATGTCCGGAATCTTAACCCTATCTTTTCCTTTTCACTTAGTCTCGTATGACTAAAAATTGCTGTGATATCTTATTATCCCATAATCCTCTTACTTAACCACATCTTGATAAAATTCATCAATATTCATATTTTCCTCAACTGAAAGTCCTTCCCAGCCAAAAACTGATTCGGAAGATATTTTACATTTTTAAATGAGCTGATGATTTATAATTTATATAATTTATATCAATTTATTTCGTGATAATCATATGATATACAATAAAAAAAAATACATATAAAAAAATTAAAAAAATTCAATATAAAAAAAAACCGCCCTCCTCGTATCATTTTTAAAATTTTATGAGAATCTAATTTTCCCAGCCTAACATTTAGATAATTCGTAAAGTCTATTTTGTATTTTGGTTACATTTTTGCAATTTTACACTTTCTTGAAGAATTTACAAGACGTTGAATATTTAACTAGTTTTGAAAAATTGGTAAAGGTGACCCAAACATATACGTTGTAAATTGATAGCTATATTAGTTACATTAGTACTTATTTAATCTTTTCTATTTATAATTCATCGAGCATCATCATATATTAAATTCAATTTTCTTTTCTTTGAAATATACTCTAAGAAATATAAAAAATAAGAATTGTACTATAATAAGTTTCAATTAAATTTTTGAAGTTTTATTTTTTGTAATTTTACACATACCTTGCTTTGTTGGAGATTTTGAGTCTAATGAAGATGACCTAAATATAAATATTTTAAATTAATAATTGCATTAATATTTGTTTTAATTTTTTACTATTCAAATTATATTAATACCATTTAGCATCATTAATATCATACTCAAATTCTTTTGAAATATACTCTAAAATATAAAAAATGTAGTTGAAAATTTTGATAAATCGTTAGTGTTTCAAAATAATTAATTATAAATATAATAAAATTAATACCTTGTTTCGTATTAAATGAAGTTGTTGATGATGAACTAATGGATGATGAACTAGAAATTAAAAAGTTTAATAATCTACTAGTATAAATTGCTCCAGGGTGAGTTTTTACAGCATATTCAGGGCCAAGCTTCCTTTTTTCTATTAATTTTAGTCTTGTTGTTTCAGCTTCACAAAATTGGTCAATATCTTTTATCTTATGCACCCACATACCAATAGTTTTTCGAATTTCTTTTATAACTGGTCTTTTTGAAGAATCAGAATCCCAACATTTTTTCATTAAATTAGCAAAACATTCAGGAGTATCATTTGTTATTTCAGGTTGTTTCCCATCAATAATTTCAAGAATAAGATCAGTATTATGTTCAGAATCAGCGAAAGGTTTACAACCTGAAGTTAATTCCCACATAATCATACCCATACTATAAATATCCGATTCTTTTGAAAATGCTTTACCAATAAATATTTCTGGAGCAACATAAGGTATTACTCCATATATATTGTTATTTGATGAAATTACATTTACGGGGCGTGATAATCCTAAGTCTCCAATGTGCCATTTATGACTTGTAGAATGTTCATTTTTGACTGATAATATATTTCCGCTATGTAAATCTCTATGTAAATAATTCTCTTCATGAATGCAATCAACTCTATAACAAAGCAAATAAAGTTAATTAACATTATATAATAATAACTAATAATAATTAATAAATAAATACCCTCTTGAAATTTCTAATATAATGGCCAACTTGTCATTCCATGTAATATCTTTAAAGCACTTTTGTAAATAATTATGTAAATCTCCTCCATCTGCATATTGCATTATTATCATATGGTCTCGTGTTTCAGGATCTTGTGTAATGCCATAATATTTAATAATATGTTCAAATCTATTATGATATTGATCAAATGATTTTAACTAATATATAAGGTGGTTATTGGTTAATTTAATTAGGGTAATAGAAATAAAAGATTAACACATATTTACCTCATTAATAAAATCTTTACTGATATCCTGTGAATTTAAAAATTTTTTTACAGCAACAATACTACTATATGATTCTAAACTTTTATTATTCCAAGTTGCTTTATAAATAATACCGAATCCTCCTTCTGCTATTCTTTCAAAATCTTCAGTTTCAGAATATTCAATCATTTTTATATTTTTGCAACTAACTTTAACTTTATTTTTAATGAACTCATATATTTTTAATGGGTCATCAGTATTATTCATATATTTAGCAATCTCATCATTAGTATCAATAGTAGAATCAAGAAATTCATCTATATTATGATTTCCATTAATACTAAAAGGCTCCACTCTTTTGCATTTTATACATTGAGATTGGATTGTAAACCCAAAAATAATATTTGTTGTTAAACAATATCTACATCTATTATAAATTATAAAGCAATGTAAACACCATTTTTGACGGTAAGATTTATATTTAAAATATTCTCCACAAGTTATACAATAACTAGAAGTATCCCACCAAGGTAGATATAGAATTAGAATTTTTTTTTTAGTTAAAATTGATTCTATATATCCAGAAGAAACTGAATAACAATCCAAACACATGAAAGAAATTTGTCGATCAATTAGATTTCCACACAGATTACAATTTTCACCTTGAATCATTTTACTTCGTTCTTCCATATCAAATGAATATTGTGTAATAATCTGTTTAAAGTATGAAATTTCAGAACAATTTATACACCATTCACGGATACTTTGTGTACAAAAATCCAAAGTTCTTGGTTCATGTTCAGTGCATTTTATACTGTTTGTAATTATATGTACATCCATCATATTTTTGGTTGTAAACTTTGTAAACTTAATATACCAATATAAGCAATATTTACAATATTTTTGTCCAAATAAAAGTGTCACAGAATACTTTCTTCCACAATTGCGACACATATTACTATTATAATGAGGAATAAATACAAATTCTATAAAAAAGTCTTCATTATTTTTTAAATTTGAATATGTAATATATTTTGCATCAAGATAAAAAAGATTACTTATAAAACTGTATATCTTTAATGGATTGGAAATATTATTATTTTTAACATATTTTTCAATCAGATTGTGATTATCAGTATTATGTTTTGTGGAAACAATAAAAATTTCCATAATAACTTTAGTGTCAATAGTAATAAATGATATTCTTTCACATTTTTTACATTTAGATTGATTTGTAAGTCCAAAAATAATATTTGTTGTTAAACAATATCTACATCTAGCATAAATTGTAAAACAATTTGAACACCATTTTTGACAATCATCTGATGTCTCGGAGAGTAAACTTTTTGAACAAACTATACATTGCTCAATATTATAACACCATGATAAATAAATAACTAGAATAGATTTTTTGGATGAAGTAGATTCTATACATTCAGAAGAAATTATGTAACAATTTGGACACAAACTAAACTCAGTATTGATTAATAAATTTTGCTGACCACATAGTGTACAATACTTTTCACATTTGATTATTTCATTTTGTCTTTCATAATAATAATTCATATCAAATGAATATTTTGTAACTATTTGCTTAAAATATAAAATCTCTGAACAGTTCATACACCACTTTTGAATATTTTGTGTACATGATTCAATATTTTCTGATTCATGTTTAGTACAATGAGTATTACTAGTATTACTTATTATATGCATATCTAGACATACGTTATTGTCATTTAAGTCATAAAGATACAAATACAAACAATATTTGCAATACTTTTGTTCAAATAAGAGCGTTGAAGAATATCCCATTCCACAATAATTACATTTTACCCTATTACTACTAAAGGAAATAAATCGAATTTGTCCATTTGCTTTAATGGGATTAAAATCATGATATTCAAGTTTCTGCATAAATTGATATACTAATTTCACTAAATTTGACCCTTGTTCAATATTATTCATATAATTAACAATGAATATTCTACTAGTAAAGGCAAGAAATTTTTCTAAATTATACTCAATGCCTGTGACGTCAATATCAATAACTCTTTTACATTTTCTACATTTAGACTGATTTGTAATTCCAAAAATAATATTTGTTGTCAAACAATATCTACACCCTGTATAAATTATAAAGCAATATGAACACCATTTTTGACAGTCAGATTTATATTCCAAGTCCCGTTTACAAGTTAAACAACCATTTGAAGTATGCCACCAAGGTAAATAAACAATCGGAATAGGCTTTTTAACCAAAGTTGATTCTATCCACTCAGAAGAAATAAAATAGCAATTTGAGCACAAATTCATATAATAAAATTTCTCATGTCCGCATAATTTACATTTAATTCTTTTATCATTGGTATCAAAATAATCTAAATAAAGCTCATTTCTACCAAAATAATCTGAATCGAAACAATATATAAATATCTGATTAAAATGTAAAATTTTAAAACAACTATTGCACCATTCTTGAATACTTTGTGTATCAGAATCCTTATGCTCTATACATCGAACTACATTTCTATAAAATATAACATCCAAGTATAAATTATTGTCAGTCAGATCATTAACATAATCAAATAAGCAATTTTTACAATATTTTTGTCTAGATTTTGTCCGAGAATATTCATTTTTGCAGTATTTACACTTATTTTCGGAACTATTAAAAGGAATGAACAAAATTGGCACAGGACTGGATTTTAATTTTGGTGTAGGATTGAAAGAATTTTTCATGATATAGTTTATTTATTGAATAATGAAGGAAGAAAATTTCGAGAAATTAAAATTATGAAGGTATTTAACACCCAAGTAGGATTTTTAGGCGATTTTTTACTCTAAAAGGCAAAAATTTTGGTTGATCATTTCATTTTGGTCAGATTTTCACCTAAATTTTCTATTCCGATTTTGAAAATCATCCACATGCATAGTTGCCATGGATACAAAAAAAATTGCCTTTTTCGTAAAAAACTCTCAATTTAATCTTAAGTATTAGTACAGTTCTGTACATATACATGTACAAGTACAAGAGCAAGAACATGAACATGTACATGTACATGTACAGAAACTTTTTGCGCAGAGTTTAACTGTGCTGCTCAAAAAGAATGTTAACTTGACAGATCATGAATAAATCAACATTTTTTAATAATATGTTGATCATTTTGTTAAAATATAAAAAAAATTAATTTTTTTAAATTAAAAACGTCAAACTTGACGTTTTTGTAATTAAAAAATCAAAAAAATTAATTTTTTTAATTAAAAACGTCAAACTTGACGTTTTTGTAATTAAAAAATAATTTTTTTAATTAAAAATGTCAAACTTGACGTTTTTGTAATTAAAAAATCAAAAAAAATTAATTTTTTTAATTAAAAATGTCAAACTTGACGTTTTTGTAATTAAAAAAATCAAAAAAAAATAATTTTTTTTGATTAAAAACGTCAAACTTGACATTTTTGTAATTAAAAAAACAAAAAAAATTAATTTTTTTTAATTAAAAACGTCAAACTTGACGTTTTTGTAATTAAAAAGACAAAAGAAATTAATTTTTTTTAATTAAAAACGTCAAACTTGACGTTTTTGTAATTAAAAAATAAAAAAAAATAATTTTTTTTAATTAAAAACGTCAAAGACGTTTTTGTAGTTAAAAAATCAAAAAAAAATTAATTTTTCTAATTAAAAACGTCAAACTTGACGTTTTTGTAGTTATAAAATAAAAAAAAAATAATTTTTTTAATTAAAAACGTCAAACTTGACGTTTTTGTAATTAAAAAATAAAAAAAATTAATTTTTCTAATTAAAAACGTCAAACTTGACGTTTTTGTAGTTAAAAAATAAAAAATAAAAATTTTTCTAATTAAAAACGTCAAACTTGACGTTGTTGTAATTAAAAAATCAAAAAAATTAATTTTTCTAATTAAAATAATCTTGATTAATAGTATTAAAAATAAATATTTTTACGATACAGTAAAATTACAGTTTTTCTGTATAAAACTCAAAATTGGTATTCTAAATCTAACTTTTAAGATTAATTAAAGTTGTAGCCCTAATAAAGTTATAAATAATTAAAAATTTACAGACTTATATAATGAATGGATAAGTCTCACACCTTAATTTCGTGCTTAATTTTAACGATTTTAACAGTTTATCTATGTATGACTCAAAAACGGCATTCTAAATCTACTTTTTAAGATTAATTATATTTGTAGCCCTAATAAAGTTACACTTAATTGCAAATTTACAGACTTTACGTAATAAATGAATAAGTCTCCCGCCTTAATTTCGTGCTTAATTTTAGCGATTTTAAAGTTTATCTATGTATTACTCAAAATTAGCATTCT